AGTTGTTCAAGATGATATTTACCTAAGTAGAAATTTCAGTTGAATGTATTTGCGTTGAAGCGGTCGAGGATGCTGGTAAAGATACCAACCTTTCGCACGCGTTTGAGGAGGAGAATGAGGAAAATTGTGCTCTTGCAGCCAATAGTATTGCTGATGCATCAGCGTTACAAATCAGCCTTGCAAATCGGTCCTTTTCAGTACAAGAAATGGAAGATTTGCAAGCAAAATGGTAAGTCGATTCTCATTAATTTTTGAATTTAAATTATTTAATGTGATGTATATAACCTATTTAGTGAAGCGTTACAAAAAGAAAACGCATCTCTCCGAAAAGAGAACAAAAAGCTCCGAAGTGGAGTCACGGCACTAAAGCGAAGTCATTGATTGAAGGACAAGAAGCACGATTACAACATGAATGTGGCAAAAAAACGTGTGCGGATAGCGGAACATTCCTGCAAAAATATGGAAGAAAAGTTGGGAGGCCAAATAGCGAAGTTGAAGAATGGCGTTAAAAGACCACTTTGGAGCGAGAAAGATATAGCCCAATCGATTACTCTGTACGCTGCTGGTGCGAAATCGTACAAGAAGGGCTTTCCGCTTCCTGGAGTCAGAACATTGCAGACATGGTCAAAAAAAATTGATGTTTCCCGAGGATTGTTAGAGCCAGTATTCAAATTAATGGCAGCATGTACGCATATGACTGAAAGACAAAAGCTGTCTGTGTTGTGCTTCGATGAAATGAAAATAAGAAAGACGTACTGCTATGATGCTTCATCTGATTCGACGCTAGCTCCAGCCAGTTATGTTCAAGTAGCGATGCTAAGAGGTACATACATACATACTTGTAAAAACATTTCATAATACGAAATCTATGTACAATTTTATATATAATTTTCCCCATTAGGCTTAGTATCCAACTGGAAACAGCCAATTTTTTATGATTACAACTGCAGGATGACCAATCACATATTACAAAGCATTTTGCGAACGACGAAAAAATGTGGCTACAATGTTCTCGCTGTTGTATGTGATCTCGGAGGCAGCAATAGAGCTTTGTTCAACGACTTGGGTGTGCACAAAGATAATCCGTGGTTAGTAAAATGTTTCATTTCTTTATTTACACATACTAAACCAAGATATTTTTGCAGCTTTACCTTCGAAGACGAAGAAATTTTTGTGTTCGCGGACGTTCCGCATTTAATTAAACTATTAAGAAACCATTTCCTTGACCACGGATATGTCATTGATGGGAAAATAGTCAAAAAGGACATAATATTAGAGCTGATGTCATGCACCTCAAAAGACCTAAGCATCACACATAAGATCACCGCTAGCCATCTCAACGTATCTGGACCGCATAGGCAAAAAGTTAAAACGGCCACAAAGCTGTTTTCGCATACGATAGCGCAAGCAATCACAAGAGCTGCAAGCTTGGGGCACTTGAGTGGGCACAATTGGCAGGAGTGCTTCCAATTGTTTAAAAAGGTAAAAGTTCTACACCTAATATAAGCAATCATATATCTGTGTAATAATCTCTTATACTTTTTAGACGAATGATTGGTTTGACGTGATGAACCTCAGGGTGCCACATGTCTAGGGTGCGGCGTCACGGGTATGGTCTTGCAGTCGATGTTCAAAACCAAATATTGGACGAAATGTCAGAACTGGTGGGGAATATGAGAGTCGTTGGAAAAAATGCGCTATTACCGTTTCAAAATGGTATATAACAGTTTTAATTGTGCGTAATATTTTAAATAATCTATATGTACACATGCTTCTGATTAATTTTAGGAATTATACAGTCAAATAAAGCCGTAAAATTGTTGCTTGCCAGCCTTCAACGACGATTCGGTGTCAAGTACATTCTGACGTATGATTTAAACCAGGATGTACTTGAAAACTTCTTTGGAGTTATACGTGCTAAAGGTGGTTTGCACGACCACCCTGACCAGCAGGAATTTAAATATCGGCTCAGAACATACATTCTTGGGCGCAATGAGGGCGTAATTTCTACGGCAGGGTTTCTTACAGGTATTTGAAATTTTTTGTATTGTAATATAATGTACATACTTACACAGGTACGAAACTTTTTATACAGGTACGATATTGCGACCCATGAAACTTCCATTGGAAGAAATTGAACCAAAGGAGTTTGATGATCTAGAATATGACGGTCTAGAAAATGTAGCCGGATATATATGTCACAGACTACGTGATGAAATTCATACCTCGTCCTTCAAAACTAGCGAGGACCCGTCACTCTCATGGGCGAACCATTTAAGTGAGGGTGGTTTATCACTTCCAAGCGCAAGTATGATGGAGTGCATGTCACAACTTGAGTCAATATTTGTAGCAGTTAATGGAGAGACACTACTCATTAGTAATAATTTTATAAAAGAACTCATAGACCAAGCATCTGATATTGAATGTGACATAAAAATTTAAAAAATATTTTTCAGAACACGAATTTTTGCTAAAATACGAAAACTCAACCAAGAAATTATTGAAACAGCGCACAAAAGAAAACGCAAATATACAAAAATATTGACTAAGCAAAATTTGTTTTATTATTTAAAACCTTGGAATATTATATATTAATCTTTTCAATTCACAGGTAAAATCCTAAAACTATGTACGTAAATCAACTTGTCATAAACATTTCAATTTAGTACAATTAAATGTTTGTAATTCTATGCTGGAGGAATGTTTAGTTATTTGTACAACGATTTTGGGGTGAAGGGTGGACGGAGGGGTTGGGGCGTGGCTCCCCAAACCCCCCTAAACGAAATAGGATGGACCGCGATTTATGAAAAGTCAGCTCGCAAGTTTGCAAAAATATCATGTTTCAAACCGAAATTATTAAAAAATTATTGCGGATATAATTCGTTTTTTTTTTTTTAAATAAAGCGTAGACTTGTGTACAAGTGTGTGTAAACGTTTTTCGATTCGGGTCACTCGTTTCGGCACAGCAACCAAAATGTGTGTACAAATAACTAAACCGTATCCCTATGCTGTTTTAATTGCTTCATAGAATTGTACTTTACACTTTACCTTAATGGGTGAACCCGGATAACCGGAGCCGGGTCTGCATGGTTGCATTAACAATTAATTTTGCTGTTGTGTCTTTGATTGTACTTTCGCAGTCATGCCAAACGCAGGCAGAACTCCATAAGCAAGTGCCCTGCGCTGGGCATGCCTGTTTTAGTGGCTGACAGTTTGGCAGTGGGCTTTGCTTGCTTTTTTGTAGCTTTTGCTTTGTTGGTACTTTTATTATTTGACTGTGGGTAGGCTATTGCAGCTGCTCCTTTTTGTGCGTTAATATTGGGTTTCATTGAAACGATATCCTTATTTGATGCTGTGGGCAGGCGTCACAGTTTCAGGTAAAAATTCTTGCTTATGCCTTGGCAGTTTAATTTTATGTTGGCACCGTTTGCATTGTATTTCCTGAAATAAGTACGCATTGGAAGTTAGTAAAAAGTAATGTATTGTCGCAGATGCTACTTACCATGCTATGAGCACGCCCTTGCTCAACGAATTGGCCCTTTTACGCTGTTTCCTGGTTAGCGCTCTTCGATTCTCTGTAGTCTTTCTGGCATCGTATAGCTTCTATATTTGTTTCCAAGCCTTGGAGCTATGCACTATTTGCTGTGGCTTCAATTTCATTTGGAAATCTTACTCGTTCCATTTGCCAGCGCAACGGCGGCCACAGAATGCAATTTTTATTTGAACGCCCTACTCACTACCTGAAATAAAATAATAATATAAATAATGTAAAAGAAACACAAAATAATTTTTTTTTTTTTTGAACTAAACAATGCTCATAAGCATTAAAAAATAGCAAGGAACTTATATAAAAAGTCCTTAGAAAGCCAGGTAATCCTTGTTAATTAATTATGCGTTTCCTCGAAATATCAAATGTGGAAGCAGCACAAGTATGCAAAATTGTAACACAGGGTTGCCATCCAGAAGACAAAAGTAGTATTGCCAAATAACTCTCCAAAACGTTGCAGTGCAAGCAAAAGATTAACATACAGGTATTACCATATGAAAGTACAAATCATGAAAAGAAACAAGTAAGAAAGTCTAAGTTCGGGCGGAGCCGAACATTAAATACCCGGCGCAAGTATTAAATATATGTTTTCCACCTTTCCGAAAGCTACCGCTACAAGATAAGCCGGCGTGTATAAATTTTAAGTAAACTAGCGTCCTTAAATTTCAAAATATTGAAATTTCAAGCATTTCTGAAATTTACCGTTATATGAAAAGCGGCCGTAATTTTAGTCCGATTTCAACAATTTTCAATGGTTTACTTTTATGTGGCAAGCACAATAACCATACCGAGTTTGGTACAAATTGCTAGAACGGTTAGCGAGATACATATACCTGATCATAAGTAGGCGGTGCCACGCCCATTTTCCAAAATTTTATCATAAACGTATTTCCTGGCAAAGAATTGTTGCAACCATCATTTTGAATAAATTAGCTTTAATATTTACGGATTTATCGAGGATTTCGTATTTCTCGAAATTACCGTTATATGGGATGTGGGCGTGGTTATTGTCCGATTTTAAAAATTTTCGGCCATTTGGTATGCTGTACCAGGGTCAACAACTGTGCCAAGTTTGGAATAAATTGATGCAGCGGTTACCAAGATATACACATGTAACCATAAGTGGGCGTGGCTACGCCCATTTTCAAAAAAATGTTAATATTCTTATTTTTCGTCTAAAATTTATTATAAATATCAATTTTGAGTGAGTTATCTTCAGTAGTTACTAAAATATCGCAGTTTTTGTATTTCTGAAAATTACCGTTATATGGGAGGTAGGCGTGGTTATTGTCCGATTTTGCCCATTTTCAATACCATCCGTCCTACGCCCGAAAGAAGTACACGTACCACGTAAAGAAGTAACGTACGTAGTTTCGTTAAGATATCTTAATTTTTACTCGAGTTATCGTGTGCACAGATGGACGGACGGATGGACGGACGGACAGACAGTCACCGCTTAATCGATTTCTCTTTTCATTCTGATCATTTATGTATACATTTGTCTATATCTATCTCGATTCGTTTTGCCTGTTACAAACAACCGTTATGTGAACAAAGTTATAATACCCTTGTGCACAAGTGCGCTCGGGTATAAAAACAAGAAACATCTTAAACATACCCATAAAAGTTATAATATAAAGGAAGGCAAACACTTTTAAACATTAAAAAAAAATTCATTTAACTTATTCCCTTTTAAATAACCATACGAATACTTAAAAATCTAAACAAGTCTTTTTAAATTCTCTCTTTTTTAAAAAAATCATTATATTTTAAATACATATATATATATATATATATATATTTTTAAAAAATTAGCATTCCATTTCTTATCAATCAATTAACTAACTTTTTTTTTTAAATAATTTTTATATATTTTTTTTTTAATTTACCTTTTCTTTTAATTTTTTTTTTTTATTTATTTTTTTTTTTTTTTTTTTATTATTTTTTTTCTTTTTTTTCATTTTTAATTAAAATTTTTTTTTTTTTTTTTTAAAGAATCAATTAAATAACAAACAAATTTTCAGATCAAAACATATACAGAAACATGAATAAAAATCCTTAATAACTAAAGATTACTTTCTAAACCTGCTTTGTGTAGGAAGGAGATTATTTCTTTAAAAACATTCACATTATAAGAACTTAAAGTATCCTTTAAACAAGCATAATTATTAAAAAAAA